CGCTTCGCGCTTGGTGATGTGAGATAAGTGAAAGTTTTCTGAGGTACATCTGCAATTGTCGGAAGGCGAAAAAAACAAAAAAGGGGTCTAACGACTACGGCATGCACGACGACTATGAGTACACCCCCCCCCTTCCGGCGGGAAAGATGTATAACCCTAACCCTAACCCTAAGGTTAATGCCTGTTAGTACGGCATAAATAGAAATACTTAAGTCCCCCCATCGGGCGGTGGAGGACTAAGAGCTAAGACACCCCAGAACGCTCCGGCGTGAGATCCAAAATGGATCGGGCGGTGGAGGGGGGGGGGGGTTCGTTGCTTGAAGTGGATCAATAAAAGATAGGGCCATCAAAGCAAAGCATGTTACTCACGTCGAGGAAGCTGACCGACCGGACCAACCACGCATAAACTGCGGAGCTAAATGTGCGGCACGCACAATGCATTGTTTTTGATTGGAGAGAGGGGAGTATAAAGCAGTAAGGAATTGTTGACCAAACTTTCGGCAATTAGGTCTGCTCAGGAGCGTAAGTGGGGTAGCAACCCATGGTGGAGCGTACATGAGAAGCTGGACGTTGGTGTACGCTCCATCCCGGCGTGTGAGTAGGATCTTAGGCTATGCAAGTCGTCCCTAAACTTATTGTGGTGAAAATGACCTCCCAGGAGGAAAGTAGCCTATACCGCGGGACTTCGGAGATGATGAATTGGGTGGTCGGGGGACGTCTGGGTGTTTACAAAGCAGAGCGCCCGGCACACGACTGGGGTACTTGTGCCAGGAGGTGTGAACTTGGACGTAGACCACGAGCCTATGTTGAAGGCGCTATTTAGCGTCGGTGAGCCGGCGAAAGAACTGAAAGGAACCACGACCTCCGCCAGACACTCGGATTTGCAAGGCCGATTATTCCGTATTCCTTCCAGAAAAAACTCGAAAAACAAGTGGCCACGGTCCAGTTGCCGTAGAGATCATGAGGATGGTGAAGAAGCTTGGAGGATGGAAGCAGAAACTGTGGAAGGGAGACAAGTTGGAGCTGCTGCTGTTTGGGATTCCAAGGGACATGACGAGGATAGAGTTCAAGAACTGTTGTGACAGGGAGGGACTGCACTGCCTAGCAAGGGGACAAGTAGGCAGAGAACATGAACACTTCC